GTGAAAGTATAATGATTACTAAAATAAAATCCTTATGAACTACTAATGTGTGTCAGATTATATCAATTACACAAACAGCTCAAATTTAGAAGAGTAAAAACCCAATATTCCTGAATTTCTAAGCATTCATCTCGGCATTAAATATTACCCCATTAGAAGAGAAATTTTAAATTCACCTCTCTCTTCAATACCTCATCATGTTTTCAGAGATTTTACCATTTTTGCCCATTCTCATGAATCTGATAGAGTTATAACAGCGTCCAGGTAGGCTAAGGTAGGTGCTCTAAAGGATCCATGAATTGAATTTCTAGGTTGCAGAATATTGCTGCTATTGCACAATTAGCCTGTCTGACTGAAAGCCATGTCTCTGGTTGAAATATACTCCTGGGTCAATGATTGAGAAGTTAAAAACCAACAGCCAACGAAGAAAGACTGTTGTCTAATTGTCAGAAACAGTTTGATCTTTTCTACCAAATTAAAATTTCTTAATACATAAGGCCAGGTCTCATTTCTTTATCGCATCTTCTATACCACCTCCTAAGTGTTGTGTGCATGAGTACCATGTGATGGGTGATATCTAAAAAAAGATATTTTCCCTTTCGTGCCTCAGAGATAACATCGATCCATCACATGGCACACTTTAACTTCAATAACACAAATTACAAAATCAATAACTTTTAAAATGATGTTAAATGTTATCCATACTAATAGATTTTTTTTAATGTTAGGCTTATCCTATCTGACATAATTTAAAATGAATTTCAGTTTTCAACATTGGCATGAGGTAGAAGACGAAAAACTCACAAGGGAAGAAACCTAGTAATCTTCAAAATACTGAACTCTATTCAATACAATTAGCCCTGAGAGTGAAATAAGAAAAGCTACATTCTTAAGCTGGCAGGCTGACTACTGTCAAAATATTACTCTTTCCTGAAAAAAAAAATTATTATATTAGAAATTACCCTTTTCTTTTTAGTTTAAGGTATTGAGAAAAGGTCAATACACATTCTAAAATTTTCATGAAGCCCAGCCGGGCGTGGCTCAGTCGTTGAGCATTGACCTAGGATCCAGGCGATCGGGGTTTGATTACCGGTCAGGGCACATGCCCGGGTTGCGGGCTCGATCAGTGACTTTCTCATCATTGATGTTTCTATCTCTCTCTCTCCCTCTCCTTTCCTCTCTCTGAAATCAATAAAGATATATTTAAAATAATAATAAATAAAATAAAATTTTCATGAAGATTGTATACGACTGTTATTTTTAGCTATCAGTTTATCTTACCATGTAGCTCTAAACCACCTCATTCAAAATACAGGTTATTTCCACTTGAATAACTGATCAAATATTGATATCAGGATTAAAAATCCTCCCAGCAAGAGGGGCTAGGAGAAACAGGCCTTGGTGCATAATCTTGGTCCTGTCTGAACACACCCAGCCCCAGCAGAGGGAGCCACAGCTGTGGAACATTGATAGCCTCTGACAATGGCCTGCACCAGAGACCATCCAAAAGACTGGGAGCCCTACCTAATACATTAGATCTACCTAATACATAGAAACAAACCCAAACAGGCAGCCAAAATGGGAAGACAAAAAATAAGNACGGACACAGATAATAGTATGCAGAGGGCCTGGGGGTGTGCTGAGTGCGTGGTGGAGGGGACCAATGGGGGGGACACACACATCTATAATACTTTCAACAATAAAGATACATTTTTTAAAAATCCTTCTAGTAAGATAAAAGGAATGATTCACATTAAAAATGATGTGCCTTTCATAGACTAGCAGCACTTTGTCCTTCCAGGACATACAAATTTGGTTTCATTGACTCGTCAGAAACAACGGAAAATGCATATGAGTCCAAAACAGCACCTTGTACAAGGGAAACGCAAGGATAAGCTATTTAAAATAAGTCACAGGGTGTCAATTAAGGCAGGTTCATACATTCCCCAATCTAGTCTTACATGCTTTCTGAGAATGATTTTAAAAGGGACAGTTGGTGTTTACCGAAGGAAATAGATCTCAGGTTAAGCAATACCAGGGGAAGGGCTTTAGGCCAAGGCAGATTCAAGGATTTAACAAGTTTCGCCAGTTGAGCTTTGACTATCTCTTGGGTTGTTCTACAAAGCCAGAGGATGGGATAGTAAGCACAACCGAATGCTGCAGTGTGGGCCAACTTTGCATACTGGTGTAGCATTGGTCTTATAAAGTGGCCTCCAGACTCCTGTGGGGCTCTGGAGGGGTTTTTCAAGCAGGGAAAATGCTTTTTTGAGGTATTTTAGTAACTGCTGCAGCTGTGGCCCTTCAACACGTGGATGTTTCTACCCAGTGAGAATACAAGCAAATCATCACCAGTACCTTGGCCTTGAGACGGGCAACTGGATTAAAATCCACTTTCCAAACCTCAAGCAAGCCATTCGTTTCATTTCCCCCTTTTGTAAAGAGATTCCCTTACTTCAGCTACCCATTTAATTGTTAACAAAGACTTTACAAACAATTACAGAAATTTAAATAGAAGCAAAATTTAGGTGGTATGAAATTAAGAAACTATGGTTTACCTGAGCAATTAAAAACATGATGATGCAGAGCACAGTAAATAATTTTTTAAAATGTACTACCCAAAGCAATCTATAGATTTTTTTTAAATTGATTTCAGAGAGAGGAAGGGAGAGGAACAGAGAGAGAGAAACATCAAAAATGAGAGTCATTGATCAGCTGCCTCCTGCACGCCTCCCCTATTGGGGATCGAGCCCACAACTCTGGCATGTGCCCTGACCCAGAGCTGAACCGTGATCTCCAGGTTCATGGGTCGACGTTCAACTGCTGAGCCACGCTGGCCAGGCATAATGTTAATGAAACAGAAAATCTTTACCTTCCCTTTATAGTTTATTACATTACAGTTTACATTCAATAATATTTTGTATTAACTTCAGGTTTACAGATAGTGGTTAGAGAATCTTATACTTTACAGTGTTTTCCCTGGTATTTCCAGCACTCACCTGACCCCATACGTACCTATTACACCATTATTGACCATATTTCCTATGTTGTACTTTACTTCCCCATGACATCAGCATTCTTTAGAATGACAAATTTGTGAATCTATTGCATAATCTCTAGACACATTGGTTCTTTTACTGGCAAATATATTTCATAATTTTTAGAAACATGCTTCCTCAACAAAGCCCAAAACATTTTCATTAACAGTTTCAAATTTATCTTTTAGTTTTTCTGTAATAAGAAGTCAAAAATAGATAAATGTTGACTTATTTAACAATTAATGTTTCAGTACTTTATTTTATTTGGTAACGATGTAGAGATATTCAATGAACTTGACTCATCAATTAACTTGCAAAACTCTAGGATTTCTTTTTTATTGAATTTATTGGAGTGACATTGGTTAATAAAATTATATGGGTTTCAGGTGTACAATTCTATAATACATCATCCATATATTGTATTGTGTGTTCACCACCTCAAGCAAAACTCTAGGATTTCAAGTTACCAAAATGTTTGGAAACTATTTGCTGAAAAGCTTACCTAGAAACTGTTATAACATTTTTATCTAGTTAAGCCATTTGATTTTTTTTAAATGTTTTTATTGATTTCAGAGAGAGGAAGGAAGAGGGAGAGATAAAAGCATCAATTATGAGAGAGTCATTGATTGGCTGCCTCCTGCACGCCCCAAGCCCACAACCCGGGCAAGTGCCCCGACCGGGAATCAAACTGTGATCTCCTGGTTGATAGCTGATGCTCAACCGCTGAGCCACGCCAGCCTGGCTAAGCCGCTTGTTTTTAACAATCATATTTAGATTAATTCTTAAGACTGTATAAGACTTTACAGAAATTAACCATTATCTTAATTTATTTTTCTTGCTGATAAATGTTTTGACAGAGAAAATATGAGCTTATTTGACTAATAAAATGGTATAGAATGGCCCTGGCCAATGTGGTTCAGCTGATTAAGAGTTGTCCAGTGCAAGGAGAGGTTGCTGGTTTGATCCCTGGTGGGGCACATGCCCCGGACGCAGGCCTGACACCCAGTGAGGGGCATGCGGGGGGCCAGCGAATCCATGTCTCTTTCTCCCTCTCCTTTCTTCTCTCTCTAAAATTAATAAAAGCATATTTTTAAAATACCTAAATAGAATGAAAGTCATATGTCTGCATTATTTTTCAGCTTTGATAATAAAAACATGGCCATTTTAATTAAATCAACAACTTTAAGCTATCTTTTATTTACTAAAGACTAATCCTAGATCATGTGCACTAAAAAAGAATTTGTGTTAGTTTCTGTTATTTCTCCAATTTATATGAATACTCATTTGCTTAAGTCAACGGAATAAGAATCTTTTTTAACCTAATTTTGAAATTACAAATCAAATTTGGCAATACCATCCAATAGAAAAATGCCGTGTCTATAACATACATACATAGATAAACAAAAACATACAAACATAGAGATTGCATAGCTTTCATTTATTTATTTATTAATTATTTATTTATTTATTTTTAGAGAGAGAAACATTGATTAGTTGTTGCACTTATTTATGCATTCATTGGTTGTGTCTTGTGTGTGCCCTGACCCAGGATCAAACCCACAACCTAACCAACTAGGTACCCGGCCAAGGCCTCATAGTTTTCATTTTAAAATTCTAGCTTTTGTGTCCCAGGGACAATACAAAACTAAAAGAAAAACTGGATCCAAATTATGTTTCTAGCAGGTGGACTAAATTAAGATTTTGCTCAGATGGCCAAAACTTTTGCACATGCTATAGAAATTCCTTTGAAGCTGTCTTTAAAATAATAATAAAAAAAGACATTCTACTGTCTCCGAGAGGTCTGAGATCCTCTCCATTGAAGGTGCCCTTTAAGCCCGGCCAGGCGTGGCTCAGCGGTTGAGCGTCGACCTAGGATCCAGGCGATCAGGGTTCCATTCCCGGTCGGGGCACATGCCCAGGTTGCGGGCTGCAGCTGATCAATGGCTCTCTCATCACTGATATTTCTCTCTCTCTCTCTCTCCGTCTCCCTTCCTCTCTCTGAAATCAATAAAGATATATTTAAAACAAAAAAAATTAAAAAAAAAAAAAGATAGACTTACGGAAAAATACAAACAGAAAGTCGGTGTTCATATTAAAGCTGGAAAACTCACCAAGTAAAAGAGCAGCCCCAGAAGGCCTGGATTTACAGGGCGCAGACTGTCCTAGAGGTGGAACCTGAGCACAAGCTGGCAGCTGACGGATGTCTGGAGAAAAAGAAGATGGGTGAGGGGAAGAAGCCTCAGACACTATTTTGTTTCAAGACCCAGCCAATTATAACTCTAACCTGGGCTACCCATTTGATGGCATAACCCTGATGGTGTCTCCTCAAGTGTACCTTAAGCCTCCTTGCAAACCTTTGTGACAGGGACAAGTCCAAGCCTTACAGACGAGGTCCACCACCATCGGGACCTAATCAAAAACTGGATAAAGGCTCCTTTTCCTGGTCCAAAAACCATATGGGCTAAGCCCTCAGGGTCTCTTCCCTGAGATGCCCCATTAAACAAGTAGAGATGAAAAAACTGGAACTCAAATCTCTGACTTAAAAACAAAGAGATGGAAATCCTGGAATCTGAATCTACCATTCAGACAAATGAAAACCAGCAAACAGAACAAGGAAAAATAAAACATATACTCAAATAAAGGTCCTGACAGGCTGCCAAGCGCAGGGTTTCAGGCCCAGGAGGACTTACCCCCAAAAGACAGAGCCACCAGAGGAGAAAGAAGAAAACAGCCTTCTCCTGTTGGAACCTTGCACAAATGCATGACGGTCACTCTGGATCCCACCACCGCCACCATTACTGTAAACCAAAATTAATTTTAGTCTGTAATAAAAAACAAAAAGCATTTATTTGAGCAAAAGGAGCCCTAGCCAGGAGACATAAATTCAGGTAGCAACCTAAATGGTGTTCCACTGAGACAAAGGGGAGGCCGCTTTAAAAACAATCTTTTTTTATTGATTTCAGAGAGAGGAAGGGAAAGAGAGAGAGAGAGATAGGAACATCAGTAATGAGAGAGAACCATCAATCAGCTGACTCCCGGGGACTGAACCCATAACCCGGGCATGTGCCCGGACCAGGAATCGAACCACGACCTCCAGATTCATGGGTCGAAGTTCAACCACTGAGCCACACCAGTGGGGCAGAGGTCACTTTTTTATAGCAAAAGTTCCCTTCCAGGTTCTCAATTAGGTCTGTTTTGTAAATGAGGTACCAAATTGTGCAGTTCTGATTGGACGGGGCAGGTCTCAGTCTGTTGGTAAAATGTGATACTAGGGTTTTAGAAGAGTTCATATTGCAGTGGTTGACTGAAATGGCATAAACAAGTGCGGGAAGCTGAGAATTCAGTTTGAAAATTTTCCCAATATGTAATGAGAGGCTCCGGTCAGCAAATGACTGCTATTTATAAAATGTGGGTCCTCTGTGGACCGTCGAGAGTTCATCTCAGCAGATAAATTCTTTCTCAGGGTTCACAACAAATGAATCTTTTTTCTCAGTGTCCACAAACACTTGTGACGTTCTAATGCAGGGTTGGGGAAGGTCTGGTTTGCAGGCTGGTCTGGCCCTGCCAAGGCAACCGCAGGCAGGACTCGAAATTCAATAAATCTAAGAGCTTTTTTCACAGCTACTTTTTAAAAAAATATTTTTTATTGATTTCAGAGAGAGGAAGGGGGAGGGAGAGATAGAAACATCAATGATGAGAGAGTCATTGATCAGCTGCCTCCTGCACAGCCCCTGCTGGGGATCGAGTCTAAAACCTGGGCAGGTGCCCTGACCGGGAATCAAACCTCGATCTCCTGAATCATAGGTCGGTGCTCAACCGCGGAGGCACGCAAGCCAGGCTTATAGCTAACTTTTAAGTTTTAAATTTTGTATGGCCCAAGAATGATATTATAAATATCCAAATGGCCCGTCCCAGAAAAAGATATTCCCCACCCCTGTAATCTAACGCATCGAAGGCGCTTGCCGCTTCTTGCTCATTGGGTCCGTTCAGCAAGATGTCACCAATACAATGGATCAGTGTGATGTTCTGTGGAATGTCAGGAAGGTTAAGTTCCCTGCAAGCAAGATTATGGCAAAGAAGGACAGCTGACATAACTCTAAGGGTAAACAAATTAAGATGTATTTTTATCTCTGAAATGTATTTTTCCTGACTGATGCAGTCACCATTTTAAACACTGCAATTTGAGGATGAACTACACTCAGGTTGCAAAAAAGTATGAGCTCGTGTAAAAAAATCTTAAATCTCCAGACTCAGAGGAGAAAACAAGATTGTCTTAAAATAATGTTGGATAAACAAATTGTGGCAAAATCATTCAATATGTATTTAGTATTTATTCAATATGTATTGAATGGCATAGTAGTCTGTGCAGTAAAGAATGAGCTATAGCATCACATAACCAAGAGAGGAATTTCTGGGACATGATGCTAAACAAAAGAAGCTGCTGGACACGAAGAACACACACTGTATGAGTCCATTTCTATGACTTTCAGGAATAAGCAAAGCTATTCTATGGTGATAGAAGTCAGAATAGTGGCTATCTTTCGAAGGGGGATTAGTATCTGGGTGGAGGTACAAATGGAGCCTTCTGGGCTGCTCAAAATTTCTGCATCTTAATTTGACAGCTGTTACATGGATGTATACAAATGTAAGACTTTGCCAAGCTGTACACCTAAGATTTGCACAGTCTACATGTGTATGTACAGACTAGACTTTAGGAGTATTTATAGAGCAAATGGATGTGTGACCTGAGCTTTCCCATTTGGTTTCATTTATTTCACTGTAAATACTAGCAGCAGCTTAGAAAGTTTCTTATGTTTGTGTGGACAGAGCTGACTCCAGCTTGAAAAGCTGACTTCAGCCTGAAGCTAATCCACAATCTTAACTTCTGAGTGAATAAACCTGGACTTTGACCCCTCCCCTTCCCTGGGGGTGGACACCGAAATCTGTAGAGACCTTGGACTAATCACAGAATTTTTCCTCTGAGGTGAGGCACCCTGACGCCAGAGCCTCCCTGTATCTGGTCCCTTTGTTCCCTCTGATCGCCCACACATTCCTTTCCTAGCTCGTAGGTCCATCTCTAACGAGGGCAGGTGCATAGAAGCAGGTGGTCTAGGGGGTGAAAGATCTGAACATGCTGCTGTACCCAGGACCACATCTCTGCATGTAAGTTCCTATTAAACTTATTAACCAACAAGCTAGACTTGTCTGCCTCGTTCTTTGGTCTGTCACCTTCAGCATTTGGGGGCCACTTTGCACATTACAGCCTTTTCATGGAACAGTGTTAAATTGTGTACACAAGTGACATACAAAGTTTAAAAACACATTTTATCAGAATAATATGGTTTAACTTTGCCACAAACAAAATACTGTGGGTCTTACCAGCTTATTTAAACTACTTCATATTTGTGAAATACTCAATTCCATGTACACATTTATTTTATTTAAAAAATGTTTTTATTGATTTCAGAGAGGAAGAGAGAGGGAGGGAGATAGAAACATCAATGACGAGTCATTAATTGGCTGCCTGCTGCACGCCCCCTACTGGGATTGGGCTGAAACCCAGGCATGTGCCCTGATGGGAATCGAACCTCTATCTCTGGTTCATGGGTCCATGCTCAACCACTGAAACACACTGGCGTGGACATGTACACATTTATATATTAAAATAAAGGTTTGGGTGCAGGGTAGAAGGGGCCAATGGGGAAAAAAGAAGACATGTAATACTTTCAACAATAAATTTAAAAATAACAGGGGGGAAAAAAGGTTTCTTTTTCTGTTCTTTGTTTTCTTTTTTGTTAATCCTCACCTGAGGATCTTTTTTCCATTGCTTTTTATAAATTATTAATATATGTTTTTATTGATTTTAGAGAGGGAGAGGGATAGTTAGAAACATTGATTGGCTGCCTCCTGCACACCCCCCACTGGGGATCGAGCCCACAACTTGGGCATGACCAATATTCGATCTGGGGGCCTCTTGGTTCATGGGTTGACTCTCAACCACTGATCCACACGGACCAGTCTTTTCCATTGTGTTTTTAGAGAGTGGAAGGGAGGGATGGAAGGGGGAGGGAGACGAAAGAAACATTGATGTGAGAGAGAGCTATTGACTGGTTGCAAATGCCCCAACGGGGCCAGGGATTGAAACTGCAACCGAGGTAAGTGATTCTGAAGGGGAATTGAACCCACTAACCCTTCGGCGCATGGCTGATGCCCTAACCACTGAGCCACACTGGCCTTAGGAAGATTTGTTTTAATTAGCCATCGTCCCTTTTAGGTTTAGGTGCCCAACCAAACTTATCTTGTGGAGGATACATAGGAGACAGGCACTGTCTCTGGAGTTTATAATCTCTTGGTGCCTGCCTTTGTGGAGGCTGGAGCACAGATTCAGACTCTGTCTCCTAGCAAAACCAGGCTCATGACAAACCGGAAAGTGGGACAGATGAAATCTTTATCACCTGTCTTATCTCCTGTGAAAGCTATTTCATTACTGCAAATTGGCAAATGCCTTTATTGCATCAATACATTGCTCATCAAAGGTGCAAATCCAAAAGAATGTGTATGTCTGGTGTACAGACTAATTTCACACTTATTACAACACCTTAATACTACTAATGAGGCTCATAGCTACTGAGCACTTTTGACGTGCTAATCCTATAATAGCTTTATATGTATCAACTTATTTAAATCTCGTAACAACCCTGAGTTAGATACTGCTACAATCCCCATTTTGCAGATGATAAACCAAGTTAAATGACATTAACTTGCCCTAGGTTCACAAGTATTCAGCGTCAGGGCTGGAATTGGAAACCATGTAGTCTGACTCCAGAGTGCACTTTCTTACTAATTACTATCTATTTTTTAATTAAGATACAATTGACATAATATTGTGTAAGGTATAGACCACGACTAGATACATTTATATACTGCAATATTGTTAATTACTGTATCGTCAGCTAACACTTCTGTCATGTCTCATAGTTGCCACTTCTTTTTCGTGGTAGGGACAAAAGTCTCTTACCATATATTTTTAATCACTCAAGGTAAGAAACGATGGAACGCTGTGCACCAGGGAGGCAGAGGCCTCGCTTCATCTTCGGCGAGCAGCGGTCGGCGGCAGCACCCCGCCCCCCC